AATTTCAGAAGACATATTCTAAACTTTATAGATCAAATTTTATCCATCTAAAACGAAAACAAAACAATATATTTTTGACATTTTATATATCTTCATGTCTTCTTTATCATTTTAATACATATTTTTCTTAATTATTTTTGAAACAATTGGTTCAATCTTATGCAAGGGATAGTTTAGAAATAGTTGATATTTGTTCATAGAATTTGGACAAATACTTAAATATTTATGGGAAAATTGGATATAAAGGATAAATAATTAAGCTATTGTCCATCAATGCATTCTATGACTAAATACCATATATTCCTAATTTACCCTTTGTAGTTGGTTTAACTAGTTTTTCAAATAAAATTTAGAACAATTTGTAGGCAAATGAAAAAGAAGTCATGAAGATTCTTATAATGTCGAAAATATATCGTTTTTGTTACAGTTTTGGATAAATAAAATATGATCTACGAAGTTTAGAATACACATTCTGAATTTAGAATGTGTATTCTACACATTGCTTATGTTCTATTAAATTTAGATAATGTATTCTATGCACTTTACATGTTCTACGAAATTTAGAACATATTTCTGTTCTACGGTATTTAGATAGCTAATTTCTACGAAATTTAGAATACATATTCTATACTTTGCTCTTTTTTCTAGAAAAACTAGAACATCATTTCTAAAATTTACCCATGTTCTAAAATTGTTAGAAAACACATTCTTATATATTTTTTTTATTCTACAAAAAATAGAAAACAAATTCTATATAATTTAGAATTTCTTTTTTTTAAAAAGGAAACTAAATCTTTAAATAAAGAAATTGAATATTTTAATATTAAATATGATAAAATTGAATATTAAGGTTAAGATTATGTCTACAAATTTTAGAACATGTATTCTAATTAGTTTAGAAATCTTACGTCTACAAATTTTAAAAAATGTATTATGTCTACAAATTTTACGTCTACAATAATCCAACACATGCAAAGAAATCTAGAATTTTACATATATATACAAGCTCCAAAGAATTGAAAAAATCCAAAAAACTACCAAAAGATAAAATCGAAGAATTTGACGTCAAAAGAATCGAAGAAGATGTTACCATAAAAAAAAATCAAACAAAAAAAAAGATTTGGAATTATCTAGGCAAAAAATTTGGAAATTAAATAAATATTGTTTTTGCCCTATATTTTTCCAACTGCTTTTAGAAAGAAATCTAATTAATTTTGGAATTTTTTTTATAGTTTAGCAAGATTTAAAGAAACTAGAGACAAAATGGGATTTTAATTATATTAAAGCATATATGACCAATATTAAAACATACTCCCTCCGTATTTTAATAAGTGTCGTTTTAGGATTTTCTTTTTTTAAAAATTAGATGTCGTTTTCAAATTTCTATGCAAAATTTTTTACTTTTTAATGTTTTATGATATCATAAAACATTAAAAAGTAATAAATTTTGTATAGAAATTTGAAAACGACATCCAATTCAAAAAAATAAAAATTCTAAAACGACACTTATTAAAATACAGAGAGAGTATATGATCAATTATAAATATACAATGCATAAATGGACAATAATTTAATTATTTATCCTTTATATCTAATTTTCCCTAAACTCAAAATGATTACAAAATTATTGACGTGTTTAGAGGAAACTTACAAAATTAATGTCCACGTCAGCAATTACTTTTATTTGTTTGATTGATCGGACTAAAACGCGGCGTTTCGAAATCTTTTTCCGATGGAAGTTTGAGCGAAACGCTGAAGTGGATTGGATAAGCAGAGAATCGGAAGAGGACAACGACGGGAGATGATGACACCTGGCGGAAGCGGAAGATTAAGGCCGTTACCGACGCCGATGTACGCCGGATATTCTGGAACGGCGTCGTCTTGGGTAGCGAAGACTTCAGTTTCTGCTTCTGGGAAGAGGATACAAAGAGAGATGGCGGAGCTTAACGTTGATCCGCCTCCTGATTGCTCCGCTGGTCCAAAAGGAGATAATCTCTACCATTGGATCGCCACCATCATTGGTCCTTCGGGTTTATTTCCGATTCCTAGATGATCCGATTGAAATTTGTTAGATTTCAAGTCTTTGAATTTGGTGTTAATGAAACTTTTGCAGGAACTCCGTATGAAGGAGGAATCTTTTTTCTGGATATAATATTCCCGTCTGATTATCCATTCAAGCCACCTAAGGTATATATGATCCTGGATTCTCTAAGTTTGATTACAAATGATGATGTCTTTAGGAAGAGATCATCTAGTGTCGCAATGTCTAGCATATTATATAGTTTTCTTGCTTACATCAAAGTCTTAGGATACATATTTTGTAGCAAATTCTTCAACTTTTGGGTTTTTGGAAAGTCAAGCTATCGATTCTAATTTTGAGCTTACACTTTTTTTTTACATCATTTGTTTTTTCAATAGTCTTTTTGGTTAAGTGGGTGAGGATTGATTTGCAGTTGGTGTTCAAGACTCGGATTTACCATTGCAATGTCGATACTGCGGGGAATTTAAGTGTGGACATTCTAAGAGATAGTTGGAGTCCAGCCCTTACAATCACAAAAGTCTTACAAGCCATCAGATCTATCTTCTTAAAACCTGAACCCTGTAAGTTTCTACTCTACTTTCAGGCTTTAGATCAAACAATTTGAGGTCCTTTGATGAATTGACCAGCTCATGTCAGATCTATCTAAGAAAGTGTTCTTAAATTTACTCTGTTCGTGATGAGTTATGGCCAACGAACATAATATATGTCCACATCCAACTACCGTAGTAACTTTTTATCTTTCTCTCAACATATGATCTTATTCTTTTTGCTTCTTCTTCATCTACCAGATAGTCCAGCTTTACCAGTGATTGCACGGCTCTACTTGACAGATAGAGACAAGCATGACGAGGTAGCCAAAGAATGGACACTGCGATTTGCCAAGTGAGATTTCCGATACGAGGAAAGACAACTGATGTATTATAAATACACCTAGTTCTTTGGTTAGTTAATGGTCATCAATGTACATCCATCAAAGTGGAACCACAATGTTAGATGGCCAAGAAAGAAAGTTGTTTGCTCAGATAATAGGAAACAGTGTGAGGTAGGACCAATCCTCAACAACTCCCAATTTATTGAAGGTTACACAATTTAGTGTCAAATCTTTTCATCAAGGACCCGAGAACCAAAGACCACATATGGTCTGAATGTACGTAATTGAGGGATTGTTTCTCTTATAAGAGAACTAAGAGCTTTTTTTTGTTTGGAAACAAGAACAGTAGGCAATAACTTGTAGAGAGAAAGAGAAAGGCGTTGTACAGGTGGGATAATTAAACCGAAGATTATTAGTTGGTACCTAACATGTTCAATAATCTTTATTGATTGATTATCTCCAAAAAGTAAGATCAAACTTTCTATTGAAGACACAAGTGAGACTTGAGAGACCAAATCTACCGGTCAATTCTTTCGTTCTTTGAACCTAACTCTGTTTAACATAATTATCACGAATGGTCAGCACATATCTGTCTATGCATGCATGGTATATATATATAGAATGTGAACAATATAATGAACAACAATGTTAAAAAAGAATAGCATATTTCGAGTCTCTGCGACTAATATCTTCATATCGGTACGTTACAATATTTATCCGTTTAAATTGTACGTGTATTAGATTTGTATATGTAATTTTATGTACTCAATTTGTTTATATATCTTTCTTTTGTTGATGTTCCATTTCGTTGGCATCATATTACTCTTGAGGTTTTTAGTCACAACTTGTTTATAAAGTTTACTTACTTTGGTACGACAACTCGACAAGAGATCTTGGGAGAGATATCCAGTATATCGACTATCGTATCCAATCTTTAAATGACTATATATCTAAAACTAAAAATTTCTTAATCAGAGTCTTATTTTTACGAAATTGTTTTAGACAATAAATCATTTTCGTCTAAATTTGGTTGCGCCAGAGATTATCGGTTAGTTATTTAATTTTGCTGCTGTGATGTGAACCGAACCGAAGGGTCAAAGAGAAGGTTAGGTCGGAGCAGCATAGTCGCATGTGAAGTTCGTTTTAAGTAAAAACTTATGTAAACGTCAATTATTCTAGGGGGTGTATATATTTTAATTTTTAAGCTTGGTCTATAATTCAATTTTCCTAGGCTTTTAATAGGGGCATGCAGTTATCTGGCGATTTTGTATGGCGTAAATGTGGAGACGTGTGAATGTGTGATGAAGAGTCAATGTGAAAATGGCCTGGTGTTCTTTTTAGTTTTAAGTGACGAATTTTAACGGACCATCCTCAACGAGATTGTGATGAAGTAAGCATATATAAATAAGTCTGTGTTAAACAATAAATCTGCATGCATAGGTAGAAACTATATCTTCGACCAACATTGGTCTTAATATAAGATACGTAAATGTGAAATACGTAATAAACTTTGAGTTTCAACTTATTAAAGAACCCAAATTCATAATCGATTAAAAAACCCTATGAGTTTCAACTTATACAACTTATATTCATATATTAATATATACATGAATTCTAGTGTCTGAAATATTTGAAACATGAACATTTTTGAGTTTTTATATATTAAAATTTAGTATTACATGACAACCTCAACTTGTGTGGTGACACAAACACATAATAAACCGCTAGGCAACATGTAATGATCATACATTCATACTTTAGTATGTAAACTGTCTGGAATGTGTTTAATAGCTTATAAAGTTGTGTGTGTGTGTGTGTGTGTGTGTGTGTGTTTTTGTGTGTGTGTGTGTTTTGTTAAAAGGATATGAAGTTTAGGTATTAGCTAGCTAGGCTTATTATTTTCAAATTTTTGTACACTAAACAAACTGCTTGAAGAAATTAAACTTATAAACATATCTAGTGCCATAATTGAAGATTGTAAACATGCATATTAGTTATTTTTCACTTAATATACATAGACTAAATAATTAAGAATGTTGTAAAAACGTTTTCCCTCTTTTGTTAATTGTAAAAACTTAATTAGACAGCTTTTATATCTAACTTTTTTATTCGCACCATTGATATATCCACATATATAGAGGGAGAGAGGTTTGTGTACTCAGTTACACTCACAGATATGGTTTTATAATCACACAAATCACCACAAAACAACTTAGTACACATATATACCAACCTTCTAGATCGCATGTGACCCCTTCTTGAAGCATGGTAAATATAGAAGACATCAAGATTCGATCAACTATATATCTTCTTGTCTCTGCAGGTCATGTCCTAAGCTAGATGACGACGCTCCAACAATCTCATGCTTACAATCATCCATCTGCAACGGTTGAGATATTGGCATAATGTTACCAAAAGGATCAGCATCATCGTTGATAAGCGAATTAAGAAACGATGAGAACTTGTCGTCGTAGCAGAAACCAAAGTCTTCGTAGCCGCTTTCACCACCAAAGACATTAATACTGTTCTTGCTATCTCCATCCCCGCTATTAACGGTGGTATCATCAGTATGAGAACTAGAAATAGGCTCTATGGGGTTTTGTCCACCGGAAACTTCTTCTTCTTGTTTGAGGACGTTGTTTGCATCAAGAGGCTTGTGGGTTTGAGGATCAATTCCTTGCCTTAGAAGTTTCTTACGAAGATGAGTGTTCCAATAGTTCTTAATTTCGTTATCAGTCCTTCCCGGTATCCTTCCAGCGATCAGTGACCACCTGCATTACACATTAGAATTCCCATGAACTTATATGTGACTTGAAAAAACCAACGTTTAATTACTTCGGTTACAAAACAAGCTTGCATTTGATTTTAGTAAATCATAAACAATTTGAAAAAGAATGACTCGATCCCTAGCTAGAACTATTAATTAATTAGCTATATATAGAACTAGAAAATAATATGAAATTTCTTCAATTTAATTAAAATTATAATCCAAAGAAACTAGCATTTTTTTCTGAATAAATATCCAATCAAGAATCAATATATAATTGTGTAATATGAAAAAAATGGGATCAAGAATCAGAACCTTCACGTTGATGTGGAAGAAATAAAACCCTAACTTAACCCTAGTTATGCGTAGAGACACACACACACACTCACATTCGTATCACGTATGTACATAACTATTTGATCTTGTATCGTTGAATAATAAATGAGAAAAATAGCAATATGCCAATATCTATATATACCGGTTGCCTAGAAGGCGATGAAGGCGGAGGATGAGATCTTCCTCGTCCGACGTAATTCCGCCGCGTTTAACCGACGGTCGGAGATAGTTCATCCACCGAAGACGGCAGCTCTTTCCACATCGGAGTAAACCAGCTCTCTTAGGAAGCGATCGCCACCGTCCTTCACCTTCTTTCTTTATGAAGCTCACAAGAATCTCGTCCTCCTCCACCGTCCATGGTCCTCTCTTCATCCCCATCTTCGTGCAACACGGCGTTGTTTTCTTCGAAACAGGTTTCTTCACACCACATGACATCATCTCCGCCGTCTTCAACAAAGCTCTCTCTCTCTTTCTTCCACTAGGGTTTCGTGATCTCTATGAGTTTTTCGATTGGTTGGTTTTTTTCTCAAAGTTTCTCTCCATTAGTGCTGATGTTACCAATGAACCTACCGACCTTTTTGCTCACGCGCTAGCTTCGGCGTTTGGTAATAAATGGCTTATAATCTTCATTTTAGTTTTTTTTTTCGTTTTATTTTAAAGATTTTGCAGTAACAAACTAACAATCAATCATATTGAAATCCAAATGATTAAATGGTCAATAGCTTAGACCAACCTTGTTACAATGCATAGGTTAGTTGCTTCTAGTTATTTATATCAAAGATTAAATACTATGAAATAATAATTTGATTGGCTATAAACATCCGATTATTGCAGCTCCTAGAATTGAGAAAATTATAACAAATTGGTTGATAATACATTAATGAATACTAACCAACTTGATTTTCAATAATTAATTAAAAGTGAAAAAACATTAAATAATTGGACCACCTTTTAAATAGATGATAAATCAGTAATTGGACAAAATGGAAGATATTTTTACAAATCAGGAAATAAAGGGGTGAAATCGTAAAGAAATAAAAAGCATGGGCCACATAATAAAGAAGAATACAGGCGCATGAGAAATTAACATAAGTATACCTGCTTTATCACAGTTAGTCAATTTCTAACCCAAAACTTTTGTTTTGTTCTTTCCTTTTTCTTTTAATTTGTCATATTTTCACTACTGTAATAGAGCTGGCATCTGATCTTTCAACTCCACCAATCTCGAAATCTTTCTTTCAATTTTCTCAAAAAATTAAAACCCTAATTCTTATTTTCTTTGTGGAATCTGTTTCCTTGAGGAGCAATTGTGTTCTGTTCGCTGCATTTTTTTTTTTCTGCTGACGAAGGAAGAAGAAACGAGAAGAGATGGCGCGGCAAATGACGTCATCTCAGTTTCACAAATCAAAGACTCTTGACAACAAATATGTGAGCTTTCTTCTTCTTCCGTAATTCCTGGGATTTGGGTTTTTAATGGGTCTCCTTAAGATTTTAGCTTTAGCAATTAGAAATTGAAATTTGTTTGTTTTATTGATTTTAAGCTTCAAGTCTGGTGCTTTGTGCTGTTTTCTCTAACAAGGTTGGTTCTTGATATTTTGAGCGTAGATGCTGGGAGATGAAATTGGTAAAGGAGCTTATGGTCGAGTTTATAAAGGATTAGACTTGGAGAATGGAGACTTTGTGGCCATTAAACAAGTCTCTTTGGAAAATATTGTTCAAGAGGATCTTAACACCATAATGGTTTGTCACTTTTTCTTTTTATTTATCTTCGTTATTTCTTCCTTACCACTGCTATGCTGACAGAATCCTGGTTTTACATGTGGATGATTCTTGGCTGTTGGGATGATTTTCTCCAGCAAGAAATTGATCTTTTGAAGGTAGTTTCCTGAATTTTGGACATTTATCTCTTTACAAAGTTGGGATCCTGATACTAAGTTTTTTCTGAACTTATGTCAAATCAGTCACCTTCTGAACTTTGGCTTCTTCTCATGAATGGTTATGCTGGTTAAGATGCAGTCTTTCTCTATGTATTCTAAGATGATATTTCATTGCAGAACTTGAACCATAAAAACATTGTGAAGTATCTTGGGTCGTCGAAGACAAAGACTCACCTTCACATTATTTTGGAGTAAGTAGCTTTTGTGTTTATTTTGGTCCATTCTGTACTATGGACTGGAAACTCAAGTTCAATAATGTGTTTGCAGGTACGTTGAGAATGGCTCTCTTGCAAACATTATTAAACCAAATAAATTCGGACCTTTCCCAGAATCATTGGTGGCTGTTTACATTGCTCAGGTCTGTATACATCTTTCAAGTTGAGTTAATTTTCGTTATGCATTGTGTACTAACTAGTGAATACAGGTCTTGGAAGGTTTGGTATATCTGCATGAGCAGGGTGTCATACACCGTGATATCAAGGGTGCAAATATTTTGACGACAAAGGAGGTGTGTTTTATGTATTATCTATACTCAAGCATGTCTTCAGTGTATTTTTGTTTAAAGATCTGTTGCATAAGATCTTCTAGGCTTTTTATCCTTAGATAGATACTTGACTACATCACACTTCAGGGTCTTGTGAAGCTTGCTGACTTTGGAGTTGCCACTAAACTTAACGAGGCTGATGTTAATACTCACTCAGTGGTTGGAACTCCTTACTGGATGGCTCCTGAGGTACACCTTTGATTATATATATGTTCCATCACCATATTCTGTATAAGTTAGCTTTCATATGCAATTTTTGGAAAAAAATTTGTTGTTGTTTTGAAAGATGCATTTGTTTGCTCATTTAGAGAACTTTTACCTGATTATGTACGTATTGACGGAAGCCCAACTTCTGTTTCAGGTTATTGAAATGTCAGGAGTTTGTGCTGCTTCTGACATTTGGAGCGTTGGATGCACTGTTATCGAACTTCTGACATGTGTGCCTCCTTACTATGATCTGCAACCCATGCCAGCCCTCTTTCGTATTGTTCAGGTATTTTACAACATTTTATGAGTTTGCGTTTAGGTCAATAAAATTTAGGTGTCTCTTCCTTCCCCTTTTTACTAGTTCTCCATGTTGTAAACCCTTCTCTCTTGAAAAATGCAAAAGACAAACTATTTGTTATGGTTTCGTTTCAGGATGATAACCCTCCTATTCCCGATAGTCTTTCTCCAGATATTACTGACTTTCTACGACAGTGCTTCAAGAAGGTACAATTTTCTGCTATAGTGTTTACTCACCTACCTCTGTACCAGAGCCTAGACAATACTTTGTTTAATATCCAGTATGTACATTTGATTTGTATCTTGTGTATTACAGGATTCCAGGCAGAGGCCTGATGCAAAGACGCTACTCTCTCACCCTTGGATACGGAACTCTAGACGAGCATTGCAGTCATCACTTCGGCATAGTGGCACCATCAAGTGAGAACCTGTGTACTTAACTTTATTTTTTGGAAGAATATTTCAAAATTATTATATATCCCATCTTAAAGAACACGCAATAGTGTTCCTTGCATCCACTGAACCTGTAATGTCCTTGGGTACTTCTTTCTTTGCAGATATATGAAGGAAGCCACTGCAAGTTCAGAGAAGGATGATGAAGGTAGTCAAGATGCAGCTGAAAGCCTTTCAGCAGAAAATGTGGGAATGTCAAAAAGTGTAAGATTCCTTAGCTCTAATTTACCATCTTTAAATTTTTTGAAGATGCAGATAAAGAGTTGATAAATGAACAGAAGAACGCACTAAAGCTAGAGATGAACTTTCTAAAGCTACTGATACAGTACTTTTTTTATCCAGGACTCGAAAAGCAAATTACCTCTGCTAGGGGTGTCGAGTTTTAGGTCCGAGAAAGATCAGTCTACACCCAGTGATCTTGGTGAAGAAGGAACAGATAATTCAGAAGATGATATTATGTCAGATCAAGTTCCTACACTTTCGATCCATGAGAAATCTTCGGATGCTAAGGGGACACCTGAAGATGTATCAGAGTTTCATGGGAAATCTGAACGTGTTGAAACACGTGAAAATCTTGAAACAGAAACTTCTGAAGCTAGAAAAAATACTTCAGCAAAAAAGCAGGTTGGCAAAGAATTATCCATCCCAGTGGACCAGACATCACATAGTTTTGGCCAAAAAGGTGAAGAACGTGGGATTCGAAAGGTTAGTTGTGCTGTTACGTCATTACTGTCCTAGCACTTTCTTAGATAATATGGTAAATCACGAGGCAGTATATCGTGCTTTTTTGTGTTGAGCTGATTGATAAGTTCTTTACTGATTAAAACAAAACAGTTCACTGGACTCGTACTGTGAGACTGGTTTTGTTTGTTGTTGGGCCGTGGTCTTTCTTTTTTACAAGATTATGTTCTTATTGCAATACTTTTCCTTTCTTTGTTGAATGACGTGTTCAGACTAAGTGCTCTATTTACTGAGTTGAAAACTTGTAAACTGACTAGATTTGTTTTGATTGTTATTTCTCTCTTAAAAGGCTGTGAAGACTCCATCTAGTGTTAGCGGGAATGAACTGGCTAGGTTTAGTGATCCTCCTGGGGATGCTTCTTTGCATGATTTGTTTCATCCATTGGATAAAGTTTCGGAAGGAAAACCAAATGAAGCCTCAACATCGATGCCTACATCAAATGTCAACCAAGGTGATTCTCCTGTCGCAGATGGTGGAAAGAATGATCTGGCTACAAAATTGAGGGCTACAATTGCTCAGAAGCAAATGGAGGGGGAAACAGGGCACTCAAATGATGGTGGTGATCTTTTTCGCTTGATGATGGGTGTTTTGAAAGATGATGTTATTGACATTGATGGCTTGGTATGATCTGTCTCAAGTATGCTCGTTTGATATTTAAAGTAGTACACTGCTAAAATGTTCCAAATCTTGTTTCTCAGGTATTTGATGAAAAGGTGCCCGCGGAAAATCTTTTCCCTCTGCAGGTATTCTGCAAATCTATATCCTATTGTTTTGGCAACCTTTCGGCATTTTATATGTTGCTAATGCTACTTGACCGACTCACTTCATGCTCTGAAAATGATAATATGTAATAAATGTTAAAAAGAGATTTTTACTTCTCAACTCTGTTTTTAGTGATTCCAAATCTTAGTATTTATTGGCTACGTTTTGGTAGGCAGTCGAGTTCAGCAGATTGGTCAGCTCCTTAAGGCCTGATGAGTCAGAAGATGCAATAGTATCTTCTTGTCAGAAACTTGTTGCCATGTTTCGTCAGAGACCTGAGCAGAAAGCAGTATTTGTGACACAGCATGGTTTCCTGCCTCTTATGGATCTACTCGATATTCCTAAATCTCGAGTATGTTTTATTGTAATCTAGCAGGATTTTGTTTTTGCCCTTCATCACAAGTAGTTATTAGTTCGCTGTGAATACTGACTGGCTTGTGTTTGTGAATATTTTATGGTGTTTTCAGGTAATATGTACCGTGCTGCAGCTGATAAACGAAATTATTAAAGATAATACTGACTTCCAGGAAAATGCTTGTCTTGTTGGCCTCGTAAGTCTCACTTTCCATTTGCTTGCTGACTTGGTGTATCACTGGTATAGTTTGGTGGAGATGACCAATTTGTTTTATCAAAGGCTTGTGTCTCCATTTTCTATTTTAAACTTCAATTTGGAAAGCTAACACCATTTTTGGGGAAAATCATA